TCAGAGGGTTCATAATACTTAAGCTGTATGACTTAATTAAATACATCCATGCAAGTCACTATAAAAAGTGTATTTTCCAGAGTAACTTGGACATCGTTTCGGGAAAGTTTTTTCAATGAGCAGCACAAACAGAAAGTCTGTTCATCTCCATGTACTGGGGTGGTGACAGAAGTTCCATAAAAACATATCTCCGAACCTCAGCATGGCTGGATACCATTATAAGTGAGGAAATGTGCTTTCTGTGGTTTGAAAGTATGGAAAATTATGGATCATGGTTTGGGGCTGTGTCTGATCTTGGGGGTTAAATATAATTCTAATTTGTGTCAGACTTTGGGTGACTCAAATCTTCACTTTAGGACCTACACTGAGAATTTCAACCTGACCCTGTGACCTGGTCTGATATAATGTGGTCCCAACAACAGTGACATGATTTGTTCTAAATTTAAAGCCCTCAGTTAGGACATCAACATATATAAAGATGGATGGCATGCAGCTCTCCAAAAGTGAAGCAGAACCATCTCTATCACGGTATAGGTAATAGGCATATATAGGTATACAGTATAGGTAATAAAACCCTTTTTCCCAAAGATGGTTTCTGTTACTTTAGGTACTTCTCATCAGGCTGATATATGTTCATGTGTTCATTTATCTGATAGGTTTGCTTTTAATTAGTCATCTGAAGCTATAAAAAGACAGACTCTGTCTTTCATTTTGTATATCAGTGGCTTTGTTCCAAAAAGCTGTACATCCATATGGACAGAACTTGCTACCTTCGGTGTCTCCGTCAGTATTTCAAAAACACAGATGGTTTGACGAACCAAAACAAGCCTCCTTTATGAAGATTAAGCATGATTTTAATAGAGTCCCATAATGGTCTTTATTTTCAGGCCAGCAAACATTTCCTGCAAGTAGGCGTTTATTTATTTATTTATTTCCAAATGAAGAATATCTCAATGTTGGAACCAAAGTCTTATCTCATTTCTAAGTATAGTCTTAATCTAAAATACCTTACTCTCATCTGCATGTATTTAACTCCAGGGTTAACTGAATTCATTCTCATTAGAATTCACAGCCTATCCACAATAACTGGCTATAACTGGTATAATGCGGTGTGTTACTCATCAGCAGCCCACTTTCATCATCATCATCCGGCCTTCTCACTGTCCCGCCAAATGTACACTGCATTGACCCTCATTAGGTGGACTAGACCTGCACTACACTTCAAACTCTTCTTCCTAAGTGAGCTCAATTTAGCCTCCTTGGCTTGTTGAAAAGTAATGAAATCATTTTAAAGAGTTCAGACTCATAAATGACATAAAAGCAGGATGGTCAAGACTGAGCTCCCACTTGAGGGAGGATGAGCGAAGACCCTGATGATGGATGCAGCTTCCCCGTTTGATGTCCTGTCAGCCAAGACAACAGGTAGATCTCTCAGGGGTTTGGCGGTGATCGCTCTAAGAAAAAGGTTGCACTCACCTTGACGTTTCCTCCTATCAGGTCAGGTGGCTCCTCGTCCGTCTCCAAGGCGACGTTGATGGTGGCGAAAGGCCGGCTGGCCATCTGCTGCATCTCCCTCAGTAGTTGCTAGGGAGAAGGAAGAAAAAGTGCGAAGGTCAGTGACCAGTAAACAAAGCCTGTCTATTGTCTATTCTCCAATCAACTGCTCAGCAAGACGCCGATGTGTTTCATCTACAGTTACTAAATAAAGTTGTTTTTAAAGACTTGTTCACATACAGCTTGAAATCAAGGAAGTAAAAGTGGAAGAAGTATTCAGACATTTGAAGTACAAGTCCAGCATTCAAAATAAGTAAAACCAGTGTTAACAAAATGTAATTTACACCATTAATTGACTTGCCAAAAACAATGTTTAAACACAACATTGACATATTATGAATTTATATAGTTGATATGATGAACAAACAGTTGCTTTTTTACACATTCAACACACTAGACACATTAGCATTAATTTGTAGTCTCTCTTTTAGCTCTGTTTTTGGTCTCCACCAATTACTGAGGGAAATATCTGGCTCTTAGCTGCTAAATGCTCCACTATCTTCACCAGCTAGTCACAAATTTTGTCTGTCTGTTCCTGGTAGCTTAGAATGGGGTTTATCAGAGCTTTTTTTTTTTCTGAGAACAGCTGATCAATAAACAATAAACAACAACAACAATAAAGCTAGAGGCCGTAAAATCAAAACAATGAGCTGTGTGTGAGCTGTTTTATAAGCATACTGTATGTATTGTAGTTATCAGATGAAGATAGTCTTTATTCACATCATGAAAATGTAGTGTTGTAGAAGTTCACATGACCATATATTAGAAATAGTGAAGTAAAGTACGACAACCATTTAAACTGCACTAGAGTAAATGTACTTTAAATGTAACTTTCCATCAGTGCAAGGTGGAGGCACAGTCTCATTTTGTTCTGATTTATAACATGGACCTTGGCCAGAGGAAGAGGAGGAGGGAGGCGATTATGAGGGAACAAGGGGGAGGAGGAGAAGGAACTGAAGCTGCAGAAAGAAGAGAACAAACAAGAAAATAAGAAGAATTAGAAAAAAGGGGAGAAGAGGAGGATGAGGATTGCAATAATGTGAAAGATGCAGAGTATGAGGAGCAGAGGGAGGGAGGCGACGGTGGGAGAAAAAGAGCAGGGGGAGGATGAGGAAAGCTAGAGACCACAGTAAATAAGGCGACAGCTTTGTAGTCAACTGTCAAAGCAGCCAAAATGCCATAAATAGAGAAACAAACGGCGTCAACTATCATGACACCAAGACCTGAATACCAGCAGCAAGCCCTCACATCAAAACAAAAACACCTGCAACCGCTGCATGAGCAGGAAAAACACTGACAGAAATGAGACAAATAACAAGGGAGGTAAAAAAAGAAAGTCAAACATGCAGGAAAAAAAAGCATAATTGATCATTTGTCTGAAATACACAGTTTTTCAGCTCATAAAGGAAGTGAAACACCAACGATGGAGCATGACGCAGTTTGTGTGTTGAGTTATTAACGTAAACAAAAAATCAAGAGTTTTGACACAATCCATTGGCCTCGGTCTCATTACAGTGAGTCGTTGGCAGAGAATAGGTGGAAGTAAAGGGTAGCACTGCAAATCAACTTGAAATCACACACGGTAGAAATCACAGGTGACATTTGTGCATCGATGCATGTTCAAGTTGGGGTCAAGGCTAACGCGAGAGGTCAACGACCTCCCCGTCTACTCTTAAGCAGCTTGCAATTAATCTGCTGAGCATTTTCATCCCCTGTGAGGTTGTCAGTTGTGGTTATTGACATGTTAGCACTTTCTCTGTAAATGTCAAGTCTTATAATCAGATCCTTATTAGGGGTTACAAAAATAGCTTGAGGGAAAGTTTCTTCTTTTCTACAGTTAAGCCTCCCATGGGAAAAAAAAATTCTAAATTTAATGTCCTGGATTCTCTTTGTGGAGCAAGTCAACTCATTAAAATCCTGCATGTGTCTGTGGATGTGTGTCTGTATCCATATCTCCCCATTCTCCTCTTTGTTGTAACAGCTGGGCTAGGAGGAGCTAAACCTTTATTTTCCTTGAGTCACTACTTTTTAAAGAAACTGTTTAACATTTTAGGGAATATGCTTATTTGCATTCTTGCTGAGTAATAAATGAGATAAATTCCATGCCTATTGAATATGAAGCTACAGCCAGTAGCTGGTTAGCTTGGCGAGCCTGGCTCTGTGCAAAAGTACCACTATCTGCCAGCCTACCAGCACCCCTAAAGCTCACTAATTATTAACACATTGCATCTTGTTTGTTCAACTGATTGTCTTGTCATCACTGTCAGAAGAGACTCCAGAAAGTGTTTCCCTCGGTTTTAAGAAACATTCTTTCACTTCATACAATTATATTATTATAATTTCAGCTTTCTAGAGAAACTAAAATAACCTCTCCTAGTAACTGGGATGGGTCATTATTCTTGACATTTTATATACCAAAGAATAAATCAATTTATCACAAAAAAAAGATTGGCAGAGTATTAGGTAACAAAAATAGCCCTAAACCACTCAAAGCTTGTACCACTTCTTACAAACTATTAAGGTTAACATTCCACACTTTAATTGGGTGACCTAAAATGAGCAGAAACGCACACACATGCTATATATTCACAAAGCAGCTGGTAAGAACAAGACGCCCAATAGTGACAGTACTCTGTGAACTGACTGCTGCCTGTTTACTGTTATCTGATAGAAGATTCTTCTTGGAAACTTACCTAGGCACTGACTGACTTATCATTCAGTCTTCTATTTTACTCCCTAACCACAAAGCCATTCAGACTTTATGAGTAACAGAGCTGGCAAGGCATGTCTGCAAGTTTCTGCAGCCACTTTCCAAAAGGCTTGGTTAACTGAACTCTTCTGTTGTACAAGGATGTTCATTAACAAATTTGAAAGTTAAAACATAAAAGTGCTAAATAAAATCAGTGATAAAACAGAATCAGAATATGACTTAATGTGGAGGAGATAAAGTATAAGAGGGGGTTTATAAGAATCACTCACCTCGAACAGAAAGAAACCAAATCAGTTATGACAAGCAAAACTATATATAGAAACAGTGTGATGCATTATAGTAGAACAATAACACCCATGAAGTATGAATGACTCCAAGCAAAGACTTTCCTCATTAGCGTGCACACAAATAAAAACAGGCTGAAGCAACTGACATGCCGGGTCTAACGTCTTGATGTTGTACATTTGCAGCCACCACAGCAGTCAACACGCAGAAACAAATGAAAACGCAAATGAGCAACTCATTGTGCCGAGTCCCGATTTGTCATGATTAGAAACCCCGCCGTGTGAAGCATCTGAGAGCCAAAATATGAAGCCTTTGTGAGTGTGATGACTGGTGGGTGTGTAGCAACACCGCACACTGAGCACTCTGCCATCTTGCAGTCTGGTTTCTTTTGTCTTTGACTGAAACATCAATCTATTAACACCAGCCCCTGTTAAGTACCAATCAAATACTGGCCAACCAACCAAAGCCAGGACTAAACACTGTGAGAATCAGGTTTCACTCTGAGGTGAAATGATGATGAAGAAGTTTTGCTTTTTGGCAGAATTAACCTCCTTCATAATGATGCAACAGGCCGAGCCAGGCAGCAACATTAGTCTGGATCTGCAAAAGGCATGCAGAAGAAGTGAGAATCTGCATGCAGATAACATCCTTTTTCATAAGCAGAGTTCCTTGAACAGCACAAAGCAACAGAATTGATTTACTGGATAAAAAGCAGATGGAGGAGCATCTGAATGTTGCAGTAAACAAACTTTATAGATTCAGTCCACCTCCCTCAGCCTCTCTGCAAACAGCCTGCTCTCTTGTCTAACATAAAGGTAACCTTTGTTTAAACAGACATTTGGCAGAACTTGTGTGTTTTTTTTGTCATATTCACAGTTATATCTACTGTACAACATGGAACTGTCCACAATCAATAGAGTCTGCTACTGAACAATAAAGTCCCAGTTTCTGTATGAATGTCAGTGTGAGGGCAGGCATAAAAGTTTATTGCTCAAGGGCAATCAGGCTTCTGCAAGTTTCATCAACTTGGACTGAAAGTATTTTTGTTGCAAATGGACCAAAAAAAGACCAAATCAATGCTTTAAAAACAGAAAAAAGTGTTTTAGATGAAAGTCTATGAATATTTGTTTTATTTGCAAAAAGAAAACTGCATAAATGCATTTCTAAAGGGTGAAATTTTAATTTTAGGCATCAATCTGTACAACCTGTTTTCACCAATTCATCATCTTAAATATTCAGAATTTTTCTGATCTCACAAGTTAAATCTGCCTTAATTGATTTTTTGGCTTCTTGGAGGAAGCATAACAAGCTGTAAACACAAAACTGAATTGACTGTGAATTCACTACACATCTAGCATTTAGCAACATTAGCATTTATTTAGGCTTGTGTTTCTGTCCACCTGATCCAGTCCAATATCCACTCTCCTTGTAGCACTGTTTTGGTCTCCACAAACCCCAAACTCCAGGGAAACATCTGGCTCTTTTGCTGTTAAAGCCAAGATGATTTTAACAAACTTTAGTTGCTGAAGTCATATGTCTGGGTGGTGCAGTTTGGGTGTTGGGCAAATAGTGTTTATCAAAACTGCTTTGCTTAAAACAACCGCCTGCTGCTATTAGAAATGAGTTGATGAGGCAGTATGACTGAACTAAAAAATACATTTAAGGTCTGTAACTTCACATCAGCATGGGTCCTGTATCCAGAGATCAGCTACAGAGAGCCAGAAAAAGCTGTTTATCTGTATTGTTGTTTCAAAGAAAATTTATT